AGAACTGATCTGTGTTCTCAGAGTTCTTTGAGACCTCTGGACTCTGAAATGGCCTTTTTTCACTTGGAAAATGGTGCACTGAAAGCACCTCTCCAAATACATCCTCAACCTTACAGAAGGAAGCAAACACACAGTTGGATTGTACAACAATCTAGTAACTACAGTCATGCTTACAGTGTCCTGGTACCAACATGTCCAGAAGACATAGGCTCCCTCGGCCAACATCTCAGTTACTTTCTTTGTGCCAATGAGTTTCCAGTGCTTGACTCCATACCCAGGGTGGCAGTTCTCATTGCTACACGTACTGCGTAGAACTGGCAGGGTTTCAGTAGCTGGGAGCTGGAGGGGCGACTCATGTGGGAAGGGGCCACGACCTGCCCTGTGCCAGTCACAGCTGCTCCAGCCAGCTCCAAAACTGCTACAACCAAGCCATCATGTGCCAAAACTTCAGTCAGTTGGAGGAACCCATGATGCTTCTACTAAAAACGTATTTTTAAAAGCATGACAGCTCCTAGAGGCAGGAGAAATGGAGGAGATGTGGGGAGAAGCAGAAGAGACACACGGAAGGAGATGATGTTGGGGACGTGGCTGGAGATGCGCTCTCAGAAGGAGGCACACCATGCCAGGGTGGAGGGGACGCCTCTGAGCGGACTGCAGCCCACACGAGACCCACACTGGGGCAGCAGAAAACATGTTAAGACACAAGGAGCATTAGATGAAAACAACTAAGAAACCAGGAGCAGCAGAAAGAAACCATTATATGCAGGACCTCCACCCCCTGCACTGCCAATCGCCTCACCATAGGAACTGGGGCAAGCCAAGGGTAACCCACAGCAAAAAACAGGGGAAGTTTGCCCTGGAGGCAGAGGGGAGAGAGGTGTTTCCCCTAGGTGCCCATTAAAGTTTTATGCTGCCCCCCCCCAATATCCAAATCAGCAGTCAGAATGTTGTGTTATTTGGCAATAAATTAAATTATGTAAAAAATTCCACAAGTTGAGACTGGCTTGCCCGCAACACCATATGGCTTAAATAAACCATGACAACCACCACTTCCTTACAGCCTCGCAACAACAGTAATTGGTAAGGACAAGTTTTCTACATTTTAGCAAATAATGAGATTTTTAACTCTTTCTGGTTCATGCATGCCTCTCATCTACAATTTATGAGCTACTCTACTGAAAACATACCCATTACAATTTAGTCAGTCCCACTGACAAAACTCCTCATAGGTGCATTTTGTTTTGTACAATCTGGTCTTAAACATCTCAAGAGACTGACCCCTTCAGCTCCCCATGGGGTTGTTTTGCAGCTTAGCATGTCTGCTGGAAACCTTCTCCTCATATCCAGCTTCACTCTAAAACTTCCCTTTATTCATTTCAAATAAGTCTCATTATTATAATGCTTTGGTACTTCTCACTGAACTTACTTTCCTGTTCCCTAAATTCATTAGGTATTAACTCAGGTTTTTTTGTTTTAAATAGCTATTTTAATAACCTGTCCACACCAATTTCCTTTTAATATCCAAAATAAACTAGAACTTACTTCCATATTCATTTGCAGAATTGCAAAATTAAAAAAAAAAAAAGTACTACAGTGAACAAATTAAATTGTGTTAAGGCAGCAGCTATTAAAAATTTAAGACAGTGCTAGGTAAAGATAGTCCTAACTATTGTAAACAATAAATACTACAAAAACAATTATCATCGACCAAAGCAGTCAGATACTTCAACAACTGTGGGTCTTAAATAAAGGTTAGCCTTAAGGTGAGAGATTTCACCTGAAGGGAGATGTCATAGCTGTTTCCAACCACTAGCAATTTCCACACTGTTACATAAAAAGGCACCTCCCCTCAAGTTTACTAATTCCCAGTTTGACACACAAATGAGGACACTCGAACACCAGAAGAATCATAGATCCAGACCAAAACTACTCTTCAAAAGTCTCTAGCTTTTAGTTTGCCCCATCTTCTTCTCGGTGGCAAGTTACACAGACAGCTTGAGTGCTTCATCCCATCAAACTTACCTTTTCTGCCCTATCAGCAATCAACTGAAATTTGAAGGCACCTCTGCAGAGCCAAGGAAAGCTGCAGCCAGGTCATAGCCAAGGAGAAAGAGAAGTTTATAAACTACTGTTAATAATCAAGGCCTATTGTGCTTGAGAAAACAAGCCCTAATTTTCCGTCAGGTTCCCCACATCCAGCAGCCTTCTGATACAAAAGATGTTTTTCAGCTACTTAGTATTTTAAGATGTCAGTGTAAACAAGATTACAAATCATTGCAGATCTCAACTAGAGTACGGTAAGTTTGATACTGTCCCCAGATTTCCAGTTTGCAATATGCACCAGCCTGTTAATTTACACTGTAAACACCTGACATACGGTCGTGGGGAATTATGGCTCTAATGGATGATAACTATTTGAGGCTTTTGGTACATACTGCCTAATTTCAAATTCTCATAGGAACAGGAGTTTCTTTCAGAAATGGTAGATTGCACAGGCTCAGTATCGCAGTACACATGAACACGGACCATAGTTAAAATATGTAGTGCAATATAAATTGTCTTTTCAGGGAAAGACAGTTGATATGCTTATCCTAATTATGTTTCTCCTATTAGGAGAGACTTTATTTCTCAGGGAAATAAAAACATCATTTGCAATGAATTTGCTTTAGAGAATCATAAAGCAGGCTTGATGGCACTCAGGTGAAATCTGCCTTAAAATGAGACATCAATTAGCATATAAGCAACAAATATTGCACAATTAGTGAAAAGACAGAGTATCTATATACATTGTTAATTTGTGCAGTCTTCACGTATTATAAATCTTTCTGATTTCATCCCTTAAAGTTGACTATATAGAGAAGGAATTCTGCATTGGTGACTGAAGACATTACTAGGGAGGAAGGATGGTCTAATGACTAAGGTCCATCTACCCTGTCACATCACAAGAATAACTGCAGTGTGATGTAAGGGTGCCCACAGTATCTTTAAGTTACAGCTACAGCAGCACAGAAACTAGCACGTGTTGATTCACCAAGCAGCACCTTCGTAACTGCATCTCAAATACACTACGGCATTGGAACCACGACATGCAAGACTCCTGAAAACTGTCTGCAGCAACAACTGTAGCAGACATGAATAACATTCTTCAATGCCTAACATATAAAAAGGCAAATATCACAATAAAAGTAACAGGAAAAGTTCAGGAGTTCATAAGGATACCTAAATCAAGAATCCACTCGCAAATCTGAAGGCACATGATTTGATTCCCACTGAAGTCAGTGGTGACCTTAGCACTGTCTTCAATTACTTCTGCACATTAAATAATTCTGACATCGATTCTCCATTTGAAGAATGCATACAACGGCAGCTACAATACCAGAACACATCGTGTTGCAGCTGTAGTTCACCAACACAAAGACCTCTCTGTGTAAAATAGAACTCTTTTGAGGTCACACACCAAATTAACTCACCCTATTGAAGCAAAGGCAGTCTACAGGTAAAGATGACTGTTTTAACTGACAGCTTATAAAAAACAATGGCATTACCAAACAGAAGAAAGAGGGGGAAAAAAATCCCCCCAAAACCAAAACACACACACCCCTCCCCCCAATACTATGAAAGGACATAGTTATTGCTCAGTTTTCCACTTATCACTGATTTTTCTGGATCTTAACTGCACTTAATGTATTCAAATATAAATGCCAAACACCAAGAATGGCAGAGTCTTGACTAGATATTATCAAGAGTAGCAAGTAGCTTGTGTTCAGTTTCTGCAAGCTGGATATTTACATCTGCCAATCACAACAGTCCTAATACAACTTAATACTCTCATCTTTTATTTGCCAAAAAGACAGAGATTATTTATTACAAAGGAGGTACCTGTAGGGTAATTGAATCTGGATTCTGGCATTTTCTGACTTTAAGATGCAACATTAGGTCCCAAAATAACAGAGACTTCAGTAAGGTTACTAAATACATGAAGTTAAAAAATATTTATCTTTGAAGGACTAAGATACACAGTTGTTCATATACAATCATTAAGTAACCTTAAACGTGTTGAGATTTTTTTTAAAGATCAACATTACAATAAGATTTTTTAAAATCCTTCTAAGAACTTCAAGTTTGTTACTGTCCTGGTTTCAGCTGGGATGTAGTTAGCTGTCTTCCTAGTAGCTGGTACAGTGCTATGTTTTGAGTTCAGTATGTGAAGAATGTTGATAACACTGATGTTTTCAGTTGTTGCTCAGTAGTGTTTAGACTACAGTCAAGGATTTTTCAGCTTCTCATGCCCAGCCAGGGCACCTGACCCAAACTGGCCAACAGTGTATTCCATACCATGGGACGTCCCATCTAGTTTAGGAACTGGGAAGGGGGGGGGCAGGGATTCGCCGCTCGGGGACTGGCTGGGGGTCGGTCGGCGGGGGGTGAGCGATTGCCCCGCGCAATATTTGTACATTTCAATCCTTTTATTACTACTGTTGTCATTTTATTAGTGTTATCATTATCATTATTAGTTTCTTCTTTTCTGTTCTATTAAATCGTTCTTATCTCAACCCAGGAGTTTTACTTCTTTTCCTGATTTTCTCCCCCATCCCACTGGATGGGGGGGGAGTGAGTGAGCGGCTGCGTGGTGCTTAGTTGCTGGCTGGGGTTAAACCACGACAGTTACATATAACACAGTTACTTAAAATCAAAATTTATCTGCAATTTAATTCAGCTTGAATTCATCTTTTTTCTAGACTATCAATTTTCATTCCCAAATAAAATATTAAAAAACATTTCACTCCATATGCAGGATGACATTACAGAACTAAAAAACAAATAGAAATGGAATTAAAAAGCACAGTGAAAGATTACCCAAAACTTACACAGAAAACAGTTTCCAGAAGATCTATTAAAAGGCATAATAATACTTTCACCAAATAGGCAATACAATAAAAAGCATAAATAGTAATAGTAGCAAACCCTAATCTTATTTTCTTTGCAAGCTTTCTACTTACTGTAGAAACCCAAATCTATCTGTGACTTTGTAAAGATGATAGTCAGCATCTTCCCATGGTTCAATCTGCGCACCCTCCCGTCCCTAAAGGGAAGGGAAAAAAAAGAGCCAAAATAAGTTTTATGACACAATAAGCTAAGACACAGAAAACAGGATTCAATCACTCAAAGCACAATCTTTGGGACACACTGGTAGTAGGGTAGAGGTGGGGAAGAAGAAGAACATTAGTCCTAAACTGACCAAGCAAGAAAAAGGAGAGCAGCACGCCTCTCCCACCTCCTATGGGCAGTATTTTCATCACAGGAAATCTCTTTTGGTCACCGCTACACACACAGTAAATTTCAACCACTGGTTTCAACCACAGACTCATAATAATCTTACAGCTGTTGTTAACCTTCATGATAGTAGATCAAGGTCCCCAGAAAGTGTCTTCTACTAGTTTTATTTCCATAGTGCATCTTTCCTGAACCATCACCTGACAACAGCACATACTGCAGTCTTTAGACAAGGTCCATGCTGACTTCCAGCAGCTGTCAAACAGAATGCAGCACGAAGTCTTCCCTCAATGAAGCATTCACTCATGTTCCTCTCTTCTACTCCAACTGCTAATTTTTGTAAGACTTGCAGAAATTTAAGTATATTTCAGCTATATATTCTTCCGGTATGGGCTATGCACAGGTTACTGGGTATGAAAAGAGGCCACCACTCAGATCACAAAATATATTGGGTTGGCATGGCAAGGTTTTGGTAGCAGGGGGGCTACAGGGGTGGCTTCTGTAAGAAGCTGCTAGAAGCTTCCCCCATGTCCGACAGAGCCAAGGCCAGCCGGCTCCAAGATGGACCCCCTGCTGGCCAAGGCTGAGCCCATCAGTGACGGTGGTAGCACCTCTGGGAGAACAGATTTAAGAAGGGGGGAAAAACTGCACAACAGAAACTTCAGCCAGAGAGAAGAGTGAGAACATGTGAGAGAAACAGCCCTGCAGACCCCCAGGTCAGTGAGAAGGAGGGGGAGGAGGTGCTCCAGGTGCCAGAGCAGAGATTCCCCTGTAGCCCGTGGGGAAGACCATGGTGAGGCAGGCTGTCCCCCTGCAGCCCAGGGAGGTCCACAGGGGAGCAGATCTCCACCTGCAGCCTGTGGAGAGAGGACCCCACACGGAAGCAGGGGGATGCTCAAAGGAGGCTGTGACCCTGTGGGAAGCCCGCACTGGAGCAGGGTCCTGGCAGGACCTGTGGCCCCATGGAGAGAGGAGCCCAGGCTGGAGCAGGTTTGCTGGCAGGACTTGTGACCCCGTGGGGGACCCACGCTGGAGCAGTCTGTGCCTGAAGGACTGCAGCCTGGGGAAGGGACCCACGCTGGAGCAGTTCATGAAGAACTGCAGCCCGTGGGAAGGACTCACATTGGAGAAGTTTGTGAAGGACTGTCTCCCATGGGAGGGACCCCATGCTGGAACAGGGGACGAGTGATGAGTCCTCCCCCCGAGGAGGAAGGAGCGGCAGAGACAAAGTGTGATGAACTGACCCCAAACCCCATTCCTCGTCCCCCTGCGCTGCTGGAGGGGAGAAGGTAGAGAAAATCAGGAGTGGAGTTGAGCCGGGAAGGAGGGAGGGGTAGGGGGAAGGTGTTTTAAGATTTCTTTTTATTTTCTCATTATCCTACTCTGATTTGATTGGTAATAAATTCAGCTAGTTCCCCCAAGTGAAGTCTGTTTTGCCCATGATGGTAATTGGTGAGTGTTCTCTCCCTGTCCTTATCTTGACCCATGAGCCTTTCATTGTATTTTCTCTCCCCTGTCCAGTTGAGGAGGGGAGTGATAGAGCAGCTTTGGTGGGCACCTGGTGTCCAGTCAGGGTCAACCCACCACACACATGCATGTTTTTTTCTTATTAAAAAAAAACCAAAAAAAACCAAAAAAACAAAACACAGCCACTTGCTTAAGTGCACACTGTGCAAAACACCACCAAGTCTAGCATGTAAAATATTTCATGAACTCTACAAACAAGTCTGTTGCTCAGTACTCCAATGACATTTATAAAGCCCATAAGTGTTACGAGAATATGTGAATACACTGTAGGCATTCTAGGCATACTCTGTGCCAGGCTTTTACTTGACAAGGGGGGAAAGGGAAAAAAAAAAAAAAAAAAAAATCAGGGTCTTTTTCAAATTCCTCACAGCAATCTGACAAACAATGCAGTTCAGACATCTTTTAAGTTCTCTGTAATGATTTAAATGTTTCTATTACCATAACCAAAAATTAAATAAAATTAGTCTTTTTGATCTCATAGATATATTAAGCATCCTCAAACACCCTGGTTTCATTACTTCTAATACATTACACTACCTTAAAATAGCCCCAAAGCAACTTGCCATGCACCTGAAAAAATGAGTTGATTGAGTCATTACCCAGAATATCCCCCATGGTGGGAGAATTTAATTCACCCAGAGGCCAGTGTATCATGAAACCATCAGATTAGCACTACATAGAGTATTTTAAACAAAAGCTAGTGGGAACCATGATTCATTCTTTAAACAGACATATTACTAAGATTAATTATAAAATGTCTTTAAAATTATTATCAAGTTGACTTACTCTGTCATACTTGGCAACTATTTCTGCTCGTTCTTGGGCAAGTTTGATAGCAGCATCCTGCTCGGCATCTGCACCTGTGGAGAATCAAAATAATGCTGTTCAGATTCTCTCCCTCGTGAACAAAGAACTGCAGCTAAATACTTGGAAAATAAACTTCAACTTCAGAGAGACTACTTGGATGGAGAAATGCCAAAACAATTGTATCAAAGCAAAATATGACCTTGGTGCATGTCTTGAATACTGTTCAGAATAACATACAATTATTGGATGGTATCCTAATTGCTGAGTTTAGAATGTTCCCAACTTTCCACCAAAGCAGATATTAAATAAAGTTCAAAAAATAATACCCCACAATCCATTAACTGAAAGACTGAAGAAAGTAGTAAAAGCTACTAGTTGCCAATTCCACAAATATTCACATAGTCAAAGAAAGCTGAAACATACGCTACTGGTTTAAAAAAAAAAAGTGTGAACTATTTACAGGATTTGTTGAGAGGGATTAGAATAATGATGAATGCTGAAGAAATACTGCATGACTTCATCTGAGAAATTGCCTAAGACTTATTTCTCAGAAAACAGGGAAGGATGTCGTTATAGTGTCAGAACTGCAACTTGAGCAACCCAGAGTTGGAAAAAGCATAAGGATATGCAACAGGAAGGTTGACAGGCAAGAAAAAACAGATGCATGGGTAAGCACTGGACATGAGTACACTGCAGATGCAGCAGAGTTTACTACAGTAGTGAAGTTAAAGTTTAGACAAATCTGGTTTGATTGAGAGAAGGTGAAATAGACTGCATGTGTAACTGAATTAGGTTCCTTGGCATTGTTGTCTTAGCAAAAACCATCTCTAGAACATGGACAGGAATGTAAAGAGGGCACCAAGAAAGGAGAAGTAAGAGAGATGCTGCTTTGAATATTCAACAACATAATGCACTTCAATATCCCAAATGCAATTATGATTTCGAAGCAATGAAGCAAATCAGTTTTAATCAATGATAAGTTTGTGAAAGATTCAAGAGTTGATTTGTTTCGATTATTAAAAAGCAATGAACTCCAGATAAAGCAAAGCTTTATAAAGGTTTGAAATAGTGTTCAAGCACACACTGTTACAAAAATAACTCCAAGTGTTTCTTCTTCGCTATTTAGTTCACAGCAACATAATGAACTTCAGAAATCGTACATATCAACCATCTGGGCCAGGAAATAGAAAAGCAGATCAGATATTATAGTTTTCTATTGTATGACATTATTAACACATTTATTTGTTCAAACCCAGTATTTCTTTAATAAAATTTACCTACCTATTTCTCAGATATTTAGACAAGAAGTTGTGCCAAGGTGGCCTTCTAAGCCATCTGTTAAGAGATTTAGCACGGTCTCTGCATGTTTTCACTTGAAGTTTCCTTAGGGGAATGCACAGAACCTCAGTATGCCCCATCATGGACACAAGCACCAGCATTCAGGCAACAGCAACACTTGTCACAAAATTCCCCTAATGGAAAGTCTGACTGCTTCTTTAAAGCTTTTGTTTATGATCTCCAGAAGTTACACTTTGTTATGCTCATTCTGCCCCCCTTCTGCTTGCCACCATCATTTGCCAATCATATTACTCCCATTTGTTAGTAAAGGCATTGAGGTCTGTCATTTTTTCCAGTGTGCACCAGAACCAGCACAAATGTATTTACACAATTATCTGAGGAAGAAAAAAAATAAGAATTACATTTGCTATATTTGGAAGCTATGCATCTCTGTGTCACAACACTGATAAATAATTTCCTCCCTGTAAGGCAAGAGGTGAGTAGACTCCAAGCAGTGCACAGTTCTCCTGCTCCTTCAGGTGCTGGATCCACCTTTATTCCTAAGCTTAAAGAGGACTACAAGACAAAACAGTTTGGTTTCAGGTTTGTTTTTCTCTGACACAGTTTTATAGCAATCACAAGACTCTTATCCCAGCTACCTATGTGAACTCTGACCAAGACACAACTCTTACAGGCCAAGTGCAGCACCCTTCTAGAACCGCACCCCAGCACTGTCACCACAAAAGGGCACAGACTGAACTCTGCGCTACTCTGGGTGCATTCAAGCACTATATGTTCCCCAACACAATTATAACAATCTGGTTTTTATCCTTTACTAGTTGACGTACTATGCCTACTAAACTGACAATGTCCACTAAAGCTACCAAATCTACACTGACATAAAGCAGTAGGTGAAGCCTAGTTTTACTTTCGAAGTGAGAAGCTAAAAGAACCATAATCAAAATCAAATTGCGTTTTCTTTTATAACACACAGAGATCTGTGCTTACAGTAAGTTTTATAGAAGGTCAAGTATGGGTTTTTAAAAACTAAACTTTAGGTTTGCTTAGAAAGCTGACACTCCTTCAGAGAATTTAAGTACCAAGCAATCCTAATCTTTACTTCTCCAATGGACAGATGTGGGGGGAAAAGCTCACTTGTTTGAAGTATGACTGCTGCTGGGCTTCAAGAAATGGGGAAAAAAAATCCTATCAGTATTTTCCCAGTAAAAGAGAGATTAGATTTGATTTGAAAAAGAGTGTGGCTGAATAACAAGTAGTCAATATTGCAATACATAGTAGTCGACACATTCAAGTAGTAAGTAGACGATACATATTTTATTAGCAGAATTAAAAAATAGATTACTACATTTATTTAAAAATCTACTCAAAAGGACATGCACGGCTCTTCAGCAACACAGATGGAATAAGTGTCAGAAGTTGGAACAAAGTCTAAACCTTTGCTTAAAAGAATGCAAAACTGTATTTGCACCAGAAACTGAGTCCTGATTTATGCTGAAAACATGGCCATGGCTTACCTTCCTTCCCTCTGTATAAGTAACATATGAATGAAAGTTTGGCATGTTGTATGCTTCATGACAATTCAATTACATTTAGTGTGGAAATTATCATATTCATCGCCTTTAAAGTAATCCTCTTCACTTTCTGCCAGAATCATCTTAACCTTCTAGCTGCAGTGAGACAGTTTAATATTACATTAATCCATCCATACTGAAAACTCAGAAAACAGCTTGAGATGGGGACAAGAGGTTATATTTTGGGAGATAAGCATAAAATATGATTTTTTCTTATAAGAGGAATTATTTAAATATCTCCAAGTTGGAAATTACACAATGATTCTTGATAAAGTAAAAGCTAAATATGGGAACAAGAAAAATTCTTCATGAAATATCTTCCCAGGCACAAAAATATATCACTACATCACTATGAAATTAAAGACAAATAACTGGTATTCTAAAGTCTTATCAGTTTTATTCACTAAGTCTTATCTTACTGAAAGCAGTTAAAGATGTGAAACAAGTATGATTAAATTTTCTAATTAAAAGTTAGCATTACAGAAGATCAACACCACATTATACAGGAAACAATGCAATCTCAGATGAGGCTGACATTAATATACAGTCAATCAACTAGTACAGAGAACTGATTTTGACTAAAAACTGAGGAAATATTATCAACAATCTGATGATAAAATCTGCCAGTGATGGCATGCTAAACAGCACATTTAAGCCCCCCAAAATTGGTCAGGCTTACAAGGTACAACAAGCATGCTTAAAACCCTGCCAAGCAGCAATGTCACACATCTAGCTTTTGAAAAAGGTAAATCATAAAGAGAAAAGCCAGGAACAAAATTTTCTGAAAAGTTAGCCTGATACACTTAACAGTCCTAATTAGAGAGTATTTTCACCTTATCACTCTGCCACGCTAACCCGTTTTCTATATTTACAAATATTACAAAATTCTAAGCTTTGAAAAGCAGCATGCAAAGGAAGCGAAGCATCATTACAGTCAGAAAATCGAACAGAAAATCCCAATCTACGATGACATGAAAAAGGACTGACATAACAACCAGATAACTGCTTTTCTGATACACTTGGAAATCAGATTATCTTACTTGTCAGTGCTGCTGAGATGACTAGTAAACTGCTGGATTTAAACTTTCAAAAGGATACGACTAGAATCGGTCTCATTTTGCAACTCCCTGATTTTAAACCGGTAAAGAATCAGGCCTGCTAAATTAGACATCTATGGACTGCCATCAGCCCTACAAAGCTAGAGGAAAGCATTGCCTGGCATCAGTACAAGCTTTCTTCCTTTGTTACTCTAATAAGAGTCTCTCCTTACCTCACCAATTATTGAAGAGTTGAAAAAGACACAATTTCTTCAGGAAGAGAAAGTGGTGATGGTATGTAAGAAATGTTAAGTAGCACAGGCAATAAATTAAACTAGTCCTACACAAAGACACAATTCTAATTAGTCTCCAGTACTTATTTTCTGAGAGAGGAAATAAGTGATCTGGAGATGCCAGCATCACTTAGTAGCAACAAATTTACAGATGAATTCTGGGTGTTATCCTGCCATCCACTATTAGGTTGTGTCTGTGTGCATCACAATTGCATTTAAAATAAAACCCCACATTTTTAAAGCTGGAAGGGTTTTTTAAATTTCAAAACCACTGTCCAGTTCAGCCAACTGATACAAAAATTGAAAAATGTCACAATAAATTAAAATAAATTCTTAAAACTGACAACACACAGGCTTCTTACAAACTTAAAAACTAACTGGAAACTCCCAGTTCCTACTAAGCAGCTGCAATTCTAAGTATCTTGCAGCTTGTGAGAAATATTGGGGAAAACAGTTTACTTTTCCAGAATTCGAGATTCTTCCAATCCTAAGGAACAAAGGCAAGTGCCCTAAACTTGGGCGAGAAGGAACTAATAAAATTAATAGACATATTGCTAACAAAAAATACGGGATGTTCCACTCAAAAATGAATGCAAGACTATGGACCTACTGCCATAAGTGATGTATTTAATGGCAAAACAACAGATCCAAGTAAAAAATAAACACTATTAAAAAGAAAATAAGGATGTGCCCTACAAATAGATAGAAAAATGAAATTTTGACTATTAGTAAAAATTTTTTTAAGGATAGAAGGTTTTGCAAGAAACCAGGTACTGATACAGAACTACAGTTTGACAGATCCAGTCCAACTAAAAAAGAAATAATCCTGCCTTACTCTTGCCTTCATACCATC